GCCTCTTCGACCTGTTTGTTTCCTCTCCACCTATCCTCTCCTCTATCCCTCTTCTATCCGCCTCCCACTCTCTCCCTATTTATTTCAAAACCCCCTTCCCCTCCCCCTCTTCTGATGAAGGATCTAGGCCCGAAACGTCAGCCTCTCTGCTCCTATGATGCTGCTTGGCCTGCTGTGTTCATCCAGCCCTGCACCTTGTTGTCTCGGATTCTCCAGCATCTGCAGTTCCTACTATCTCCAGCTACAGTCTGTTAGTTTTGATTTCTTGTCCTTTTTTGAGAGGAGGTATAAATTGGAATTGCAGGCTGAACAATAGTCCCAGACAGAAATCCCCATTCTGCTGGCTTTGTTATGTTTGTTGCAGCTTCAGTCCAGGGTTTTGCCCAGTATTTTAGGTATTGGAAAAGTTCAAGGTCTTGTCCAATATTTTAAGCGATGGGGTTTTTGTTTTGGTCATGCACTTTTTTGCATGTAGTACTGTGTGTTTTACCTTAATAAAATCTAAAATTCCATGTATTCACAGTAGGTCAGGTAACATCCATGGATAGAGATCAAGCTAATGCTTTGAGTCTAGATGACCGTTCATCAGAGTTTGCGCTCTCTCTCTCTCCATGGATGCTGCCTGACCTACTGTGATTTCCAACATTTGTTTTTGTTTTCAGTACAGATTCCAGCATGTGCATTAATTTGCTCCTCTAAAATCCCTTGGTTTAGTTTCAAGAAGTTTTTTTTTCTTGTTCTAGCTCTTGCCCTCAAATTTCATACATATGGCTATACTGCTTAATGGTTGAAATTTTTTTTTTTGGAAACTCCTATCTTGTCATTGTGTTCAATTTGTAAACAATTGTCATTTTTAAGGTTTTTTACTCTCTGCCTCCTCGATTTGTAAAAGAAATTAGCTGGATTTTGAGTCTTTTTAATGTTGAAAATAAAACCTAAATGTAATGATAATAGTAAAATTTGAGCAGAACATGGAAGTGTGATTGAAGATCATCCTCACTGCCTTTCAGATTCCGACTGCCATGATGCATTTCTAATTTGTTTATTTATATTTCCAATTTATAAAAACTGCTTTAGTTGGTAGAAATTTGATATAGTATATCAAGATATTTCAAGTTATGACCCTTTTCTGTCACGTTTTATGAATGTTGTGAAAATATAGGAACTTTCTTCCATCTCTGCATGTTTGTCCATATTCAAGTAGTTATGTTTATCTTTTTTGTTTTTAGTTGGATATTTTACATTGTGCTTTAATCTTTCTCGTCTACAAAATATGCTTCCATAATGTGAACATGTTAATTACAGTTGTTATAGTAATTAGAAAAACTGCACATTTTGGGTGAACAGAACAATAGCTAATGGTGCTTAATATTTTTAATTGCTCTAATAATTACCATTTCTAGATTGGTGCCATACTTTCCGACGTAATATATTTGGAATGAGCTTTACAAAGATGCTGTGGTATTCTTGTTGAAGTGGGTTGTGTTGAGTTGCATTATATTACAAGAAGTTCTTCAGTAGATAAGATTGTTAGGATTTTTAAGCTTTCTTCCCTAACATTTGAATGAGTCACTTCTTTTTTTTTTTCTCCCTCTTTCCCCCCACCCCCCCACAGATCTAATCAATGGAGCCCAGGAACAGTGTGAATTGCCTCCTATGGATGGCTTCCCTCACTGTGAGAGCAAATTGAAGGTAAAACCAAACCTATGTGGAAAATTTTAATTCTGTAATAAAAACAATATCTTTATCTCTTCCCCTTTTTTTTTTTTTTTTGTTTTCCCCACCCTCCCCCAAACCCCACCAATGCTCTGACATCTAACTTCTCTTTGCTTGCTAGATGTTGTTTTAGTCAAACCTGGGCATGTGTGAACCCTGAAATGGTGTAATATAGCCCAAGCACATTGGATTCTTTCCCTGTGTTAACGGACATGTACTTAATGACGGAAGTCACCAAGTGACTATCACAAATATTGACCAAGACATCCCTCTTTCTCCAACACCCCCTTCCCCAAACACAAATTATGATAAATTGTAGTTTTCCAAATTATGTTCCTGTCTGAGTAACAGCCAGCTTAGCACAAGAGGAAACTGAACCTGAAACATACTTTCTTCTGGGCACTTGAACACCCAGAATAGATTTAAAGAAAAGTTGGTGAGGGGAAAGCCGTTGCCATTCAGGATTATACTTTGCACTTGTACGGAAATTATTTTTGTTTTTAACCCCTTCTTTCCACAATGGATTAGCTTTTCTATATGAGCTTTAACTATATATTTAAAACTAAAACTATTCAAGAATATAACTAAAGTCTGAAAGAGTGTTTAAATCAAAAAGCTGCAGACGATATTTATGAAGATGCATGTGGACGCTTTTCAATGAATCTCATTGACTGCTCTTCTGGTGTCAGCACACCAGCTTAAAAATATTAAGTGACCTTTGTCTCCACCTTCTGAGCCTTGATATTCCAAAGTTGCACAATTCCCCCGTGGGGGCAATTTTAAAAAAAAAAAAAGTCCGTGTTTATTCTGAAAGAGGAACAACTACTATTAAAACAATGCCCCCTAATCTGGACTGACCCACAAAAGGAAAGATCTTTTCCATGTCCACCTTGTCAAGGCCATTCAGGATCTTGCGTCTTTCAGTCAAATCAACCTTCACTGTTGACCTTCAGTGGAAGTAAGGCCAGTCGGTCCAACTATGTTCAATCTAGTTAACCTCCTCTGATCCACATCCAATGCATTTACATCTTTACTTAACCTACAGACAGTATTCAAGATATGAGCTCACCAATACTATATGTAACTGAAGCATGACATCTATACTTTTTATGTTCCATCCTTCTTGTAATAAAGGAGATCATCGCATTAGCCTCCCCAATTATATGCTGTACCTGAACATTAACTACTTGTGACTCATGCACCAGAACACCAAAATCCATCTGCACCTCTGAAATTTGAAGTCATTCTCTGTTTAAGTAATATCCTGGTTTCTCATTCTTCCTAATGATAAGTGACAGCATTATGCACAGTCTCTACCAGATGTTTTGCAAACACAATCAACTTATCCATTTCTGTCTGCACTTTGCTTAACTCTTAGAATGTACTTTCCTATTTGTGTCATCTACAAATGTATCTACCATGCTTTTACTCTCTGCATAAATAATTCAAAAAATTGTAAAAAGTTTGAGACCACAGTGCAGACCCTTGTGGGATTCCTAGTGATATCCTGCCAATCAGACAAAGATCTACTATTTCTGAAGAAGTCACATTAAACTCCATTTGTTTTTCTGTCTCCACAGATGCAAGACCTGAGTTTCTCTAGCATTTTTTATTTTATTTCAGATTTCCAGCATCCACAATCATTTTGCTTTCAATTTTTAAAAAAAACTATTTTGTCTCTCAATATTTTCTACCAACCTATCTCCTACACATGCTGTTATTGTTAACTCATTCCGTGAACCCTTTTTTTTTTCGCAAATAAACTTTTTTATTTGACAATTTTACTGAATGCCTTTATGGAAATCCAAATATCATAGTGGCTCTTGATCTACGGTCCATGTTACACTTAAAAGAAATTCTATAATTAGGCCAACCATGATTTCCTTTTGATGAAACCATAATGACTCTCAGATTTACCTTGGGTTTTTCTAAGTGTGTAGCTATAATCTGTTTAAAAATAGATTCTCATCCCTTTCCCACGACACGTGTCAGTCTAATTGGCCTATTATTTCCTGTTTTCTGACTGCCTTCCTTGAATTGAGGATGTATTTAATGCTTTCCAGTACAGGGAACCTTTCCAGAAGCTAGAAATATTTTGGAAAGTTAATATCAATGCGTCACTCACTGCTATTATCAACCTCCTTTGAGAACCCTAGGATGAAGCATATCTGGTCTCAGTGACACCACAGCACCATCTGTTCATTTATTACCACTTCTTTCATGCTTGCAATTTCATCAAGTTCCTCTCCCTTCCATCTGCTGATATACAACTTTTGCTGAAATTTTTTTGTATCCTCCATGTTGAAAACTGCAAAATATTTGTTCATTTATCTATTTCTTAATTATCTGCTATCAACTCCCCATTCTTGTGCTCCAGAGAACCAATATTCCCTTTTTTTTTCCTTTTTAAATACCTGTCTAAACTCATGCTCTCTATTTTGGCATTTCTAGCTGGTTTTGACTCGTACTGTAATTAATTCCTCCTGTTGAACCTCTTATTTTCAGTTGTTCTTTATATTCTGATCAGTTATCTGACCTGTCATTCAACTTTGAACAGCTGTAACTTTATTTCTGGTTTGTTGCATTCTCTAATTACTTCAGTTAACCACAGATGTTAGGTCCTCTCTTTAGAACTTCTCTATAGAAGGAGTATGCTAATCTAAATATCCCTTTGTATCTCTTGATGTAGTTCCTAGTCAAATAAGCCAATTTACATCAGATATCTCCACTTTCAAGCTTATTTAGTTTTAAAATACTTGTTTCAGAGCCAATCTCCTCCCTTTCAAATAGAAAATTCAGTTGTCATGATTGCTGCTGCCTTGGGTTGTCTTTGCTCCAAGGTAATGTGTTAATCCATGTTAGACAATAAACAAGTTTAATATAAATTGCTCCCTGGTCAATGCTTGAGAGAGTTTCTCAGAATTCCCCATCCAAGTGACTACTGCCTGTCTGATTTTACAGTATGAATGTTGATTTGACTTGCTCATGATTATTACACCACTTTATCACAAGCACCTAATATTTTTCATTTGTAAACTTTGTTGTGCTTAAAGTGCAGTAGCCTGCAAACCACTTTCATTAGTGCCTTCTTTCCCCTCTGATTTTCATCTTTATCCAAACTGATTCTTATGTAGCCACATTCTCAAAATATTTAGATTACATTCCCACTCCATGTTTACCTTTGCAAAGGTCATCTTGCTTAACAGCTTTGGATTGCATTTGCCTAATTCACCAGTTTTGCTGTTTTCCTAATGTCTGTTAGTGTCCTAGCCATTATTTATTATACTGTCAAGTTTTTGTATCATCTACAGAGTTCAAAATTATAATTTTGAAATCCAAGTCCAGGTCTTTTATGCGAAATTATTCGCTAGGTCTATTTTCCAAATCTGTTCCATTGTATTTGAATTTTGAAAGTCCACATATGCATCTGTTGGACTACTCTAATAAAACTTCTGTAATTAATCATCAAAAAACTCTCCGTATAAACTTTGAACTTAAAGTCTTAGCAATCAGCTAAACTCAATGATTTTTTTTTTTAAAAATGTGATGCAAAAATGTATCACGGCATGAATTGTTAGTAATTTTTATGTTGCAAATCCCAGCTAAATAATAAATGAATAAATACCTAGTTAATTTCAGGTGATGGTGGTCAGGATACCAGGAGGATTACTATCCATCATCATCTGTGAATGGTACTATGAAATGTTTCACATTTACTTGAATAAGTAGTCAGCATTTTAGTTTAACAAATTAAAATGATGGTCAGCTTTTAACAGTGCAGTAAGTAATCAGTAGTTACCCTATAGCAATGCAGATTGTGGTCTAAGTCTGGTGGAATTGAAAAATGGAAATAGTTTTTCCAGTATTTTTATCTTTTTAAAGGAATAACATTCTGCACGATTTATAGATGGGGAATTGTACAACTTGACTTCATAGACATCCTAAACTGCAAGAGAAGAGCAAAATAGTTGAACCAATAAATAAATTTAGGAATTTGTGGAATTTGTCAATTCATTACTTTGTCAGAAATTCTGATCAACAATGCAAAGCCTAATTTCTAGTAGTATTAACAGGAAAAATTTCTTGTTGTTTCCAAGAAATACTGATGTTGGAAGGATGCAGTTCTTTGCTGATATGGTTCTATTGGTCATCTTGTCATATTTTGTAACTAGGAAATAATTTGATAGTTACCAAAACTAAAAGACATAGTTTTCAGAAAACAAAATTAATTTGGATGCTACTTTAAATGTCACTGTTTGCGAAGCTGCACTGATACTTGAGCCTCACGACTGCCAGGGTTGTCACAAAAGTTAGACTTAATCAATTTGAATTAGGACAAATTTTCTTGTCTGATGGACTTGGGTTAACAGAAACACTGACCAGGTTGCAATTGTTTTTCTACTCGCTCCCATGAGTGGAAGAAAAAAATTTGGAGAAATAATTTAATAGCACCAATTAAATTAGAATAATAAAGTACAGAAGAGTCCCTTGAGCCCATCATGACAGCACCAACAAAATCTACTCTAAATCTACACTCGTCCCACTTACAGGATACAATGAGGTATACTTTTTGCTTCTCCCAAGACTTCTGATCTTTGATCTTTGTATTAGTTTAACAGGGGTGTTGACTCATGAATTGTTCAGTTTCTCGGGTACTGGTTAGAACTTCTAGCAAGTGGTGGAAGAGAATAGCTCACAATTTTTAAGTTTTTGATTACTTCACTGTGGAGGGAGAAAACTGGAGAGATGTTGTCTCTTGAAGTCTGCAGACCTTCAGCCTCTACATTTGTCATACACAAGCTGTCCATCTGTGCAGAAATTGATCAGAGTTGTTACAGTGCTGCTGAATCCTGGCCAAAATAATTGGCCATAATTGAAAACCTAATCAACATAAGACCATAAGACACAGGAGCAGAAATTAGGCCATTCGGCCCATCGAATCTACTCCACCACTCAATCATGGCTGATAAGTTCCTCAACCCCATTCTCCTGCTTTCTCCCCATAACCCTTGATCCCCTTGATAATCAAGTACCTATCTAGCTCAGTCTTAAATGTACTCAATGATCTGGCCTCCACAGCCTTCTGTGGCAGTGAATTCATAGATTCACCACTCTCTGGCTGAAGAAGTTTCTCCTTCTGTCTGTTCTAAAAAGGTCTTCCCTTTACTCCAAGGCCATGCCCGCGGGTCCTAGACACTCCTACCGATGGAAGCATCTTCCCGACATCCACTTTGTCCAGGCCGTTCAGTATTCTGAAATTTTCAATAAGATCCCCCCTCATCCTTCTAAACTCCGATGAGTATAGTCCCAGAGTCCTCAAACGTTCCTCATATGTTAAGCTTTCCATTCCTGGGTCCATTTTCGTGAACTACCTCTGAACCTCCTCTAGGGCCAGTACATATGGGGCCCAAAACTGTCCACAATACTCCAAATGTGGCCTGGCCAGAGCCTTATAAAGCCTCAGTAGTACATCCCTGCTTTTATATTCAAGTCCTCTCAAAATAAATGCCAACATTCCATTTGCCTTCCTGACTGCTGACTCAACGTGCAAGTTTACCTTGAGAGAATCCTGCACTAAACTCCCAGGACTCTTTGCACTTCAGACTTCTGAATTTTCTCCCCATTTAGAAAATAGTCCATGCTTTTATTCTTCTTACAAAAGTGCATGACCTCACACTTTCCCATGTTGTACTCCATCTGCCACTTCTTTGCCCACTCTCCTAACCTGTCCAAATCCTTCTGCAGCCTCCCCACCTCCTCAATACTGCCTGTCCCTCCACCTATCTTTGTATCGTCGGCAAACTTAGCCAGAATGCTCACAGTTCCTTCATCTAGATCATTAATGTACAAAGTGAAAAGTTGTGGTCCCACCACTGACCCTTGCGGAACTTCACTTGTCACCGGCTGCCATCCTGAGAAAGACCCTTTTAACCCCACTCTCTGCTTTCTGCCAGACAGCCAATCTTCTATCCATGCTGGTACCTTGCCTCTAACACCATGGGCCCTTATCTTACTCAGCAGCCTCCTGTGTGGCACCTTTATCAAAGGCCTTCTTGAATTCCAGGTAGATAACATCCATTGGTACTCCTTGATCTTACCTGCTCGTTACTTCCTCAAAGAATTCTAGCAGATTTGTCAGGCATGACCTCCCTTTGACGAAACCATGCTGACTTTGCCCTATTTTACTATACACTCCCAAATATTCAGAAATCTCATCCTTTACAATGGACTGTAAAATCTTACCCACGACTGAGGTTAGGCTAATCGGCCTGAAATTTTCCGTCTTTTGCCTTACTCCCTTTTTAAACGGGTGTCATGTTAGCGTTTTTTTTTCCCAGTCCTCTGGGACCCTCCCTGACTCTAGTGATTCCTGAAAGATGACCACTAACGCTTCCACTATCTCTTCTGCTATCTCCTTTAGAACTGTGGAGTGTAGTCCATCTGGTCCAGGTGATTTGTCCACCTTCAGGCCAATCAGTTTTACTAGCACCTTTTCCTTGGTGATGGCCACCATGCTCGGCTTTGCTCCCTGACACTGTTGAATTTTTGGGAGATTGCTCGTGTCTTCCACCGTGAAGACTGATGCAAAGTAATTATTCAGTTCCTCAGCCATTTCCTTGTTCCCCACTAATATCTCTCCACCGTCATTTTCCAGTGGTCCAATGTCCACTTTTTTGCCTCTCTTTTGCCCTTTTATATGTCTAAAGAAACTCTTGCAGTCTTCATTTCTATTACTGGTTAGCTTATCCTCACTGCCCTTTGCCACATTATATGCTTTCTCTTTTTTTGCTTTTATGCTATCCCTGACTTCCTTAGTCAGCCATGGTTGCCTCATCCTCCCTCCCTCCCTCCCTCCCTGTACCATGCTCCTTTTTCCTAGGGATGAATTTTTGCTGCATCTTCTGAATTACTCCTGGAAACTCCTGCCGTTGCTGTTCCACTGTCTTTCCTGCTAGGCTCCTCTTCCAGTCAATTCTGCCCAGCTCCTCCCTCATACCTCTGTAGTTGCCTTTATTCAGCTGTAATACCGTTACCTCTGATTCGATCTTCTCCTTCTCAAATTGCAGAGTAAATGCCATCATCTTATGATCACTGCCTCCTAAGGGTTCCTTTACCTTAAGCTCCCTTTATCAAGTCTGCCTCTTTGCACAACACTAAATCCAGTATTGTCTTGTGGACTCCACGGTGAGCTGCTCCAAAAAGCCATCTTGTAGACATTCCACAAACTCCTTTTCTTGCAATCCATTACCAACCTGATTTTCCCAGTCCACCTGCATATTGAAATCCCCTATGATCACTGTGACTTTGCCTTTCTTACTCACCTTTTCTATCCCCTGGTGTATCTTGCATCCCAGCTGCTGACTACTGTTTGTAGGTCTGTACACAACCCCAACTATAGTTTTGCTTTTTTAGAAACCTTTTTGTGGTACCTCCATTCTACCCACACAGATTCTATAACATCTGACCCTACTTCGTTTCTTTCTATTGATTTAATTTCATTTCTCACTAATAAGGCAACCCCACCCACTCAGCCCACCTGCCTATCTTTTCGATAGGATGTATATCTTTTGATATTCAGTTCCCAATCCTGATCATCTTGCAGCAACGTCTCCGTGATGCCTACCATGTCATACCTGCCAGTTTTGATCTGCGTCACAAGTTCATTTACCTTTTATTCCTTGTACTGCGTGCATTCGGATACAGCACCTTCAGCCCTGTATTAACCCTCCCTCTTCTCATTTTCTTTCATTTTTCCAGTGTTTGATTGCTAGCCTTTTCCAAACACTGTCCTATTTGTGTCTGTGCTGGAGACGTTAATCACCTGAGTTCTCCTCCCCTGTCATTTCTTTCATGTTGTTCCACTTAGTTGAATCCACCACTACAGATGTTAACCTGCTGTTTTGTTTACCAATGGGGCAGGTTTCAACCCCCACCCACCCACCCCCCAACCAACTGTTTAGTTTAACATCCTGTTGACCAGCGGATTTTTTTTTTTAAAAAAAAAAAAACCCTTTTCACTAGAACATTGGTCCCAGGTCGATTCAGGTGGAGACCGTCTCAACGGTACAGATCCCTGCTGTTCTAATACTGATGTCAGTGCCCCATGAAAAGAAACCCCTCTTTCCTGCACCACTCTCTTAGCCACGTGTTTACCTCCCTTATTCTCTTGTCCCCATGCCAATTAGCATGTGGCTCAGGCAGTAATCCAGAGATTATAACCCTTGAGGACCTGTTCTTTAATTTGGTTCCTAGCTCCTGATAATCTCTGAATAGGTCCTCTTTCTTTCTTTGTCTTGCCTATGTTGTTTGTTCTGGCGTGGACCGCAACAACTGGATCCTCCCCCTCCCACTCCAATATCTTTTCAAGCGAGTCAGAGATATCCCTTACCCTGGCGCCAGGCAGGCAACACACTTGCTTACAAAGGATACTATCTATCCCCTTAATTATAGAATCCCCTACAACTACCACCTGTCTTTTTGCTTCCCCACCCCACCCCCTCATGAATGGCCTCACGTACCACGGTGCAGTGGTCAGTTGGCTCATCCTCCCTGCAGCCCGTTTCCTCATCCACACAGGGAACAAGTACCTCGTAGCTGTTGGACAAGGTCAAGCTGAGGCTCCTCTGTTCTGACTGCAGGATCCCTCTACCTGCCTCGCTTACAGTCACACCCTTCTGTCCCTGGCCACTGGCCACTGACCAAATTTGAATTACTTAATCCACCAGGTGGGACTGCCTCCTGAAACAAATTGTTCAGGTACTTCCCTCCTGGATGTGCCGCAGTGTTTGAAGCTCCAATTCCAGCTCATCAACTCTGAGCCGAAGTTCCTCGAGCAACCAACACTTGCAGATGTAGTCACTGCAGTTCGCAATGGGATCGGCCAGCTCCCACATCATACAGCTACAACACATCACCTGTCCAGCCATTTCTACTTAGATGAATTAATAAAGTAATTAACTAATTTATTAGAATGAGTTAATTAAATTTGTTGATACTTTCCTCCCTCTGACAGCTTCCAGCCCAAAAAAAGCAGGAAAAAAAATTAGACAATGCCCGAATATAATAGTTCACTTCCCGGCTCGTGCTTTCACCACTCCCACCACTCGAATCAAGTAGCAAAAGCCACCAACTCTCCAAGCTTGCCTCCTGAGTCTGTCTCAACACCCTGTCTCTGGGCAAAGCTTGAACAGACAGCATGGTAAAGTTCCATTATATCATCTCGTCTTCTCAAAATCCCAAACGCCACTGGCAACCAATAAAGCAATGTTGTAATTCAAAAAGCGTTCCAGTAATTTGCTTTTTAAAAATGTAGCAACTCCTTCCACAATTCTTGGTTTAATGACCTATTCATCCTTTCTGCACAATCCAAAGTAAAGTAAAAATGTGATCTATATAATCTCCAGTAAATGATTCATATGTTCTGCATAGACATTAAACTTGTATGTTTTATTATATATACCATTTCTTATTTACAGTGGATGAAGACTATGTGGCGGTCAGATCCTTGCTATGCCAGCTATGGCGTGGATGGGTCCATATGCTCATTTTTTATTTACCTCAGCGAGGTCAGTGGTGGTATTCCTAAATAAGTAAAAGATGCTTTTTGTTCTCTTGACTAATTTGAATAATAAATTACGTGTGAAATTTTTCTTTAGATCATTTGGAGTTTGAGAAATAGGACAAAGAATCAAACTTTGATATGAAGAAACTACTAATGACAAAAATAGGAAAGACTTATAAATGTTGTAATGTACAATAAGCTTTCTACAAAACTGAGTAGAAAGTATAAAATGCACATGCTTTTTAAAAATCTACTAATTAACATAATAAATTGTCTAAATTTCTTGAGCACTTTGTTGCACAATCTTTTTTCAAATTGAAGAATCTTTTATTGTTTGTGTACAGAGATGTTAAATGAAGCTATATGTTTGATCATACTGGAGATGTCTGAAGTTAGCAATGTGGGCTATATTTAAAAGAATTGCCTACCATTTGCATGTATAGCTGTCTCATCCTTTAAAAATAGGTTTCAGAATGGTGTTGGTTTATTTTTCTTGTTTGTCAGTTCTGTGCATCCAGTTTTCAATGTATTTTTCTCCTTTTTGAGGATAGGTTGAAAATTGGTGTCCTCCTCTGCCATGGAGAGCAAAAAGTCCTCGGGAAGAAACGGACCAACAGAATTTGGTTTGTACTAATTACATAATAGACTATACTATACTGGTGTGTATAATCCTGATGCTCTCACTGGCCAATACAGAAGTTGTACTTGCATAATGAAACTATGGTCCCAGTGGTGGAATGCATAGAAGATGATGTAATGGACAACTGACTTTCACATGTTTTAGTTTTTTGGTCACAGGATGAATCCGTGTTGATGCCAGATCATGAGTAGTGAGAACTTAGAAACCTGGTGTGAAGAAAGTTACAAGGCATAATGTGTTCCAACAGTAGCAGCAGTAGTAATCATTAGAATTCAGCTAAATGTCATCTGAGAATATCTACCATGGGGTATTATATGCTATTAGGCATTTTTTTAAAAGAAGCTGTGAGTATTTGGGAATCAGTTGGAATTAAATATGTCATAAAAATTGTAAAGGTTTAATTCCTTAATGTATAAACCAAGTGGCAAACACAAAATCCCTTGAAATAAGTGAGTGCCAGAGCTTTGGTTTTTTTATACAGTTCTGTACTTAAGGGATTCTTGAAACCAAGAAGATAGTGAGGTGATGGGATGAATTAGTAATTAATGATTAAGGCTTTATGTTTCGGTTACATCCTGTAGTTTTGGGTAGAGACTTTGCTTTTTCAGCATTCTCTACACTGGCACAGCACTCCGCTAAACATTGGTATAACCTGGGCATTGAAAGGGTACCTGTTTCTTTAGTTGGGTTTTTGTTATTAAATGGTGCATTAATAAACTGTTTTATCTTGGTTCACCTAATTATTTCCATTGGACTTCTGAAATAGCTCAAGAATACATTTAAATTATCATTACACAATAAACCAAAAATCTAAATTGTAGTCATCAGTAAATTCAGATGTTGAATACATGCCTCAAATGCTATTTGACATTCTTTAATTGTCAATTAAGTATTCTTAGGACTAAATCCCATATTAGTTTCTGTCGCCCACCAAGTCCCTTCCAAAATTCATCAATATGAGGATAGGTTACAGGCACATCTAAGTTGCAATATACAAACATTAATTTGTCTAAACATGTCAGCAACTACTTTCCATGACAGCAAATAGTTTTATGAAATTATTTTTACCTTCTACACTTAATCAGTTGTGTTGGAATAAGGAAGTTAGTGGAAGTTCGTGCAGTCACTTTTGACAGCTTCTTAAATTCTTTTTCATCTGTGCTTGTTTGTACAGCTGAATCTTGGTGTGCTCTTTACTATATGCAACTATGGCATGCCTCTGTTTCAGACTTTCCTCAGAAGAGGTGCAGACTTGCCAAAAAGATGCATGTTAGATTCTCCTTTAGGGCTGTTTGCCATTTCTGAATTTAGTGGTATTCTTTCATATCTCAACCATTCTGAAGACATCCATTTGCACAGATTAGAAGACATCTGAAGGGTATTGTACATTTTAGTCCCCCTCCTGCAGAACAATTTGTACATCCATTCCAAGATGAGGATGTCTTTATTAGTAGCTGTGAAGATTACAGCTTCCTTGATTCACTTTTGTTTGAAGTGAGAGGTGCCTTCTAGGTAAGGTCATAGTATTTCTACTTCTGGCACATCTGCCTTCCTTCATGTGCTCACATCGAAAAATATTTCATAGAGCCACTAGTTTTTTCTGAGACTACACTGAGCAAAACAAGGTAAGTATCTGTTTCATTCCCAGATCAGTTATTTTGACTCTGGAAAATGTTTGTTTCCTGATGAGTTTGGTCTTGTTCATTGCTAGTCATAGCTGGCCAAGAATTCTGATTGAAAAGCTTGTACCAAGTAACTCTGGTTCATAATACTTACCATTTTTGTCATAATCTGTAGCCTGAAATTAGAGGGAAAATTGGAACTTGTTAGTTGCGATTTCGTTTGCATGTCATCGTCGTCATCATCATTATCATCATTATCATTTGGAATTTGATAAGCTAGGGAAAGCATTCTGCCAAGTATAGAGCGATCACAATTAAAGCATGTGAGTAATTAAAATTATTGTCTTTATCACAGGCTGAAATTCGAACAGACTTCAATTACCTCTTTAAAATGATGTCTGTACATGATGAATTTCGATGGATGCGATTAAGAATAAATCGAATGGCAAGTGCCTGGATAGAAGCTGTAAAATCACTTGCTGAAAAACAAAATTTAGAAATCAAGCGTAAAAAGGTCAGTTCTAGAACATTTCTGTAAGACTTAGCTGATTCATGGGATGTGAATATCATTGACCTGCATTTATTGCCTATCCTGATTATACTCTTAAGGCAATAGTGTACCACTTTTCTCGGACTGTTGCAGCTAATGTAGTAAAGGTACTCTCCTCACACTATTAGGTAGAGAGTTCTAAGGATTTGGGCCAGCAACAATGAATGAACAGCAATAAACAGCAAGTCAGTATGGTATATAATTTGGAGGGGTGCTTTTTAGATGGTGTTATTATGCACCTGCTGCCTCGCTTTTCGAAGTGATCAGGATTGCAGATTTGCAAAGTGCTGTTGAAGGATGCTTTGTCAGTTGCTGCAGTGCACCTTCTAAATGATGCATGCTGCTGCCATGGTGTACCAGAGTTGGATGGATTGCCAATGGCTGCATTGGTGCCTAGCTGCTTAAGTACAGTTGGAACTGCATTCATCACAATCCAAATTTGTACTTCTAGTTGGTGAACAGGTTTAGGGAAGTCAGAATGAACAATTTGCTGCAAAATTGCCTCTGACCTAAATTTGTAGCCACAGTAAGTTTGTGGCTGGAGAAGTTAAGCATTTGGTTATTAGTGACCTCCAGGATGATGGATCCAGTGTCAGCAATACTATTGAATGTCAATAGAAGACAGCTAGATTCCTTCTTGTTGGGCAGTTCATTGCCTGGCACTTCCCACTTCCAAGCTTGAACGTTTTCAGATCTTGCTGTATCCAAGTATGGACTGCTTCATCATCTGAAGGGTCGCAAATGGAGTAGCACGCTGAAATCATCAGCAAAATCCCAAACTTCACACCTTTATAATGGAAGGAAGGTCATTGAAGTAGATGAAGGTTCAGCCCTAGACAACTGCCCTGGGACTGAGACAAATCTCTTCCATTGACCACAAGCATCATCTTTTGGGCTACTTCTCAGTGGAGAGTGTCCTGATGCCCATTGAATTCCATTTTGCTTAAATTCCTTCATTACACACGAGTCAAGTGCTGTATGAGGTTAGTTATGTTGATGTGCCACCATTATTTTAAACAGCATCATCAGATGAACATTGCAATTCTATAATGTTTATAATCTGTTTTTTTTTATAAGGGGATATATAGAAGTCGTGAAGGTGTCTTTAAAGATCTTGAAGTGAAAGTTTCATGCATCTGATGTGGATTTGGAGTCCTTTTTGGAATGTTAAATTGCCAACTGAGCATATTTTACCTTTCTGCTCCCAATAGGACTTCTAAATTCAGATGTACTCTGTTCCTATAATATCCACAACATAAAATGTATAACATTTGCCTATCTGGTATTGTATCCACGCGTGCTTGCTTACAAGAACTCTTCATCATTTAAGTTGTTTTTTTTTTAAATTAAATGCTTAGGTTGACGCATACAGATGCTTCAGTTATGAAAAGAGTCACATGATTGAACAGCATTGTGCAAAGTTTTGCTTTCTTGGTTCACAAATATTAGTTTCCATTGGACTGTCACAACTTGATTATCAGGATTGAGGCAGTGAAAGTCACCATAATCCCAGATGGCTAGAGGATGTGCTGTGAGAGAGAAAGACGGGACTGGTAGTGAGTTTAACCTGAATAACCTGTGCTGTTGTCGATCTGCAAGGCAAACCAGTCATCCAACAATGAGTTAACTGAACCCCATTACAGCTATACTCCAAGATTTGTGTGCATGCAGATTTCATTACCTATTTCAGAGTGAGAATGCTTTTTATATATCATATTTTTAAAGTACTATTCTAATTTTCTACAGTAAGTCATTTACATTTTTATTTCTTAGATTCTTATCCATCTTGGCCTCTTGACAAAGGAATCGGGATTTAAGATTGCAGAGAATGCCTTCAGTGGTGGCCCTCTTGGCGAATTAGTTCAGTGGAGTGATTTGATTACAACCCTTTACCTGCTGGGCCATGACATTAGGATTTCAGCCTCACTGGCTGAACTAAAAGAGTAAGGGTCTTAGCTGCATAAAATTCCAAAATGTGAAACTCCTATGAGTCAATTTTTAAGAATAATGATGTTTCTGATGAATTCCAAGTAGTAAGAATAGAAGAATACATAAAATATATTGTTGATCTGTATTCTGCAAGCAAAAGAAATGCTGACATTGCTATAGCTAAAATACATGGATTTCAATTAATTTTATTTATGCAGACCTATCTATTTTGGGCAGCTATCATGTGTGCCATCATTTGGAAGTGATTTTAATTTGACATTTGTATAAAAGCAGAAAATGCTCAATGGGTCAGGTGCCTTTTTTTTTGGAGAAAATCTGTGTGAACGGAAGCATTATCTCTGGTTCTCTTTTTTTGGATGAATTCATGAGTTTTTGTAGTATTTTCAGTTTTTTGACTTGTATGTTCATGTTAGTCATGCTTTTCCTCTCATATCTATCCTTAACTCAAGTCTTGTTCTGCTGTCTCAAAACATTGCTCAATATATATTATGTAGGGGAGGCAATGGCCTAGTGGTATTATTGCTGAACTGTTAATCTCGAGACCCGGATAACGTTCTGGGGACCTGGGTTCAAATCCCACCATGGCAGATGGTGGAATTTGAATTCAATAAAATATCTGGAATTAAGAATCTAATGATGACCATGAATCCATTGTCGATTGTCGGGGAAAACCCATCTGGTTCACTAATGTCCTTTAGGGAGGGAAACGGTCATCCTTACCTGGTCTGGCCTACATGTGACTCCAGACCCACAGCAATGGGGTTCACTCTTAACTGCCCTCTGGGCAATTAGGGATGGGCAGTAAATGCTGTCTATCCAGTGGCTTCTTCATCCCATTAATGAATAAAAATAAAAGATGATATTAGGCCCTCACTTGAAATTTAAAAATTATAATGTGGACAGCGGTTGAGTTCAAGATACCAAGGTGTAGAGCTGGATGAACACAGCAGGCCGAGCAGGAGGTTGAGTTCACTTCTGTTTCAAGCAAGATTCCCCAAAGGGCATTCATGACCCAGATAAGTGTTTGTTTTTTGTTTTTTTTTAATGACAACTGAATTCAAATTTCACTGTCATGGTAGGATTTGAACCCGTGTGCTCAGTATATTAGCCTGGGGTTGTTGATTGCTAGTCACATTAGTTGCATCTTAACTCCAATTGGGGACTGATTTACATTTTAATTAATGTGATTCTGGTATTATACAAACGAGGTCACGTTTAATGATCTATAGAATGAAGATTGCAAAAATTAATGTTCAACTTTTTAAGTGGAACAGTTACCAGACTCTTAACAAGTACTGCAAAGTAATCCTTCATAGCCATGGTGACCGTGTACACTTTATAAAAGTGTTGCAGACTCTGTGTCTGTGGTTTGACGCTAAATTGTAAGCCATTTTTCCCCTCTCAATTGATAGTAGCAATCTTTTTGATTTTTTGACCTTGAACGGAAATTGTCAAAATCTTGAAGCTGTTGTTGTCGTAAACTGAATATTGCAAACTGATGGGACGAGAAACATTTTAAACGTATTTGAGAAAAAACTTAGAGCAGTCAGAGCAGAATGGACAACAGGCTGCTTTAGCAGAGGCAGAACAATTCTGGAAGTAGTAGAATGGAATGTTGACAAAATATTCAAATTTTGCACATTTCAATTAAAATGGCAGTTTGTGTTCTTGTTCTTTTTTCCTACAGCACATTTGCTCTGGTGAGAAACCAATTGCTTTGATGTATAAATGTTTTCAATAAATCTAGTGGCCTTTTACCATGGCGTAATTTTGTAAATATGCCAATGTATATGTCACTATGTTAATCTTAAAAATGTTTTATATATTAGTTTGAATTCTCTGGTTTTAAAAATATTGTATTTGTGTGTTTTCTTTATAGAATAATGAAGAAAGTGATGGGTAACCGGTCAGGTTGCCCTACTCGTGGTGATAAGATAGTAGAACTAATCTATATTGATATTGTTGGTTTGACACAATTTAAGAAGACACTCGGTCCATCTTGGGTTCATTATCAGTAAGTGCTAGTATTTGCGTTATGTACCAGCTGTTCCACTTATTGCAATGATATTTATACTGCATATTGTCATGGTAAGACTTTAAAGTTCCTTTTAAGGATGAAATTGCAGAGCACTCGGAAGTGCATGGTAAAATATGGCTGAGTCAGCACTGCTTCCTCAAAGGGAGGCTATGCCTGACAAATCTGTTGGATTCTTTTGAGTAAGTAATGAGCCAATTAGAAAAAGGAAAGCCAGTGGACGTGATCTGAGGAGGCTGCTAAGAGCCCATGGTGTTAGGGGCAAGGTACTGTCATGGACAGAGGATTGACTGAATGGCAGAATGCAGAGGGTAGTGAAAAATGAGCCTTTATCACGATGGCAGATAGTGATTAGTGGAGTACCCCCTGAGTCTGTGTTTGGACCACAACTGTGCAGGTTATACATTGCCCTCAGTTCCTTTGTAAATGTTGATAAGTTTGTAGACGACACAAAAATAGGTGGACAAAGAAGTAGCAGAGTAAAGTGTGAGGTTATGCACATTGGTAGGAAGAATAGAGGTATAAACTATGTTGTGTAGAAAGGCTTTGGAAATCTGCAGCACAAAGGGACACAAATCCTAGTTCAGAATTCTCTTAACCTTAACATACAGGTTCATTTGGCAGCTTAGAATGCCATTCAATGTTGGCATTCCCTTCAAGAGCAGAAATGTACTGCTGAGGCTGTAATGCTCTGATCAGACTGCATTTGGAATATTGCAGGGGAGGTGATAGTGTAGTGGTATTATCGCCGGACCGTTAACCCAGAGACCCATATAATGTTCTGGGGACCCGGGTTCAAATCCTGCCATGGCAGATGGTGGAATTTGATATCAATAAAATATCTGGAATTAAGAATCTAATGATGACCATGAATCCATTGTCGATTGTCGGGGAAAACCCATCTGGTTCACTAATATCCTTTTAGGGAAGGAAACTGCCATCCTTACCTGGTCCAGCCTGCATGTGACTCGAGACCCACAGCAATGTGGTTGACTGTGAACTGCCCTCTGGGGCAATTAGGAATGGGAAATAAATGCTGCCTAGCCAGTGACGCCCCTATCCCGTGAATGAAGAAAGGAAAAATGTTTTGGGCCCTGCAGCTAAGGAAGAATGTGCTGGTGTTGGAGGGGGTCCAGAGAAGGTTTATGGGGATGAAGTGCTTGTCATACAAGGAGCTGTTGATGATTCGTATGTACATGGAGTTTGGAAGGACGAGTGGGAATCTGATTGAAAGCTGCAGGCTGCTGAGGTTTGGATGGAGTGGACATGGAAAAGATGCTTCTACTAATAGCAGAGATTAGGATCTGAGGGCACAGCTTCGGGGAAGGGACAACCCTTTAGAACTGAGCTGAGGAGGAATTTCTTCATCCAGAGGGTGACTAATCTGTGAAACTAATTGCTGCAGAGAACTGTGGATGTTAGGTCATTGAGTGTATTTAAGATAGAGATAGGGGATCAAAGGTTATGGAGAGAAGACAAAAAGATGAGGTTGCGAAACATAATAGCCATGGTCAAATGGTGGAGCAGACTGCGTTGGCCAAATGGCCTAATTCTGCTCCTGTGTCTTGTGGTTTTATGGTCTATGTACTTCTCCATTCCTGAGAAGGAGAAGAGTGGGAGGGAGAGCTGTGAGCTTGGCGTTTGTGGAATGTCTATGTTGCTAGATTTCACTTTAAATTCTGTAATACCATGTATGGAGTAGTTTCTTCAAAGATCAAAGAGAGCAACTTCAAAATTGAGGGGAAAAAATGGAATCATGTGAACCCAACGCATTAATAAGAAAGGTGCCTTCAGCCATGAGAATGGCCGAGAACACCATGATGCCAAATTTGCATTGGTTTCATGGGACTGATAGAGGGACAGATGTTACTAATGGTCGTTGATGCCCTCTCCAAGTGGCCCAAGGTGGTGGTCATGAAGTTCATTTCAGCAGAATCCATAATCGACCGACTTGGTGAGATACTTGCCAGGTTCAGGAGCCCTGTAACTTTATGAATGACCATGGTCCACAGTTTGTGGTGCACGAGTTCAAGGAGTACCCGGCAAATTGGTGTCAGACATGCAATATCTGGTCCATATCACTGCGTAACAAACTGCCAGATGTGTTCCAACCCTGAAGCAGGCCTTAAAGACTTCACAAGTGGAGAGATCACTAGGACAATGAATCAGCAAGTTCCTCAGCATGTACAGGAACATGTCACAGGTGTTGACCCAGTGTTTGCCAGCGTCTTTATTGTTCAACTGCTAGCTGAAAACCATGTTTAACTTCCTGCAGCTGGAAGAGACCAGAGAAGTGGTAGAGTGAAATCAGGAAGCTCAAGCGGGCCAGAAGGGCGCAAACCTCAACGTTGAGGGTATTCCAAACAGGAGAGACACTGGCTCAAGTTATGTCTGGGGGAGAAATGGATCCCAAGTTCTGTTTGTGCAACCACCAGGACTATTGTCATATATTTTACATACTAGGGATGAACTGGTCTGGAGGAGCCATGCAGGACGAGCTGGTTACTGCATCTCAGCAACAGAAAGGGCTGTCAGAAGATATCCCACAGAAGCAGATCCAAGTGGAACTGGGGTGTCAGTTGAGCCATTTCTGAGTCAGGTTTGGTTATACCCAGGGAGGAGACGACAGCAGTGTCACAGGACAACAACAGCTAATCAGATGGACATATTTGTGGAATGACAGGAGGTTCCAGAAGCTGTGATTAGAAAAGTTTCCTGAAACGAGGAGACAGTTTTGAAGGACTACCATCCCACTGAGACTAATCATGTCTGTGTAGTCTACGGGATGGAGTGCCTTGTGTAAGGGGGAGTGATCGTTACTCCATGGTTGCCTGACTAAATATTCCTGACTATGTACAGTGTCTGATAATTGTTGTGTATATATTTAATCATGGAAGCTTTAAAATAAAGGGGTGTTATTTATGTTGTTGGGATGCTGGCTCTTTGAGAGCTGATCCAGAGGGGCAGAGCTGGGGTCCAGTCTAGAACTGGCTGTGAAGATATGAGCATCATCAATAAAGTGTTCCCGTTTAGATTTACGACTTGTATACCTGGTATATAATTCCTCGTTGCAAAGAAAGCGCCAACAATTATAGATTAGCCCCTTGCTGAATGTCATGCATTTAGAGTATATTAGAATATATACAAGAAATTCTGTTGAATGTCTCTTTTAGAAATGATAAGGCCATACTTGTATATTAATGAATTAATCTGGCGATCTCAAAACCTAGGTCACAAAATAGTTAGGGCTGAGAGAGTTTATAGAAACATGGAAAATAGGAGCAGGAGCAGGAGTAGGCCTTTCAGTTCTTCAAACCTGCTACACCATACGTTATGGTCAAGGCTGATCATCCAACTCGATAGCCTGTTCCTACTTTATCACCACATCCTCTGATCCCCTTAGCCCCAAGTATGATATCTAATTCCTTGAAATCCTGCGCTGTTTTTGCCTCAACTACTGTCTGTGGTAATGAATTTCACAAACTGACCGCTCGTTTTGGGTGAAAACATTTTATCCTCCTCTCCATCCTAAATGGTTTACTCCATATCCTTGACTGTGATTCTGCCATCAGGATCATCCTTCCTGTATCCATTAGAATTTTATTGGTCTCTGTACTTCTGCTCCTCCCACCCCACGTCATCAGCTCGTTTTCCGTTTTCCAATCTTCTTTTTTCTAACTTAGGTGATGTGAGAATTGCTGGCGAGGCAGGCATTTATTACCCATCCCTAATTACCCTTGAAAATACTGATGGACTGCCACCTTGAACTTCTGCAATCCACTTGGTGTATATCCTGTCACAATGCCGATAGGGAAGGAATTCCAAGATTTTGACCCAACAATGCTGAAGGTACAGTGACCTATTTTCAAGTCAGGATGGTCAGTGGCTTGGAGAGGAAATTGCAAGTGGTGTTCCCATGTATTAGTTGCCCTTGTTCTTCTGTATGATAGTGTTCATGGGTTTGGAAAGTGCTGTCTAAGGAGTCTTGTAGATGGTACTACTGCATACTGATGCTGGAAGAAGTGAATGTTTTAGAATTTGATGCCAGTCAAGTGAGCTGTTTTGTCTTGGGAGTGGTGGAGGTGCATTCATCCAGACAAATGGGGAGTATTTCATCACACTCCTGATGTACCTTGTAGGTGATGAAAAGGCTTGGGGAGGTGAATTACTCACTGCAGGATTCCTAGCCTCTGACCTGCTTTTGTAGCCACAGTATGTATAGTACTAGTCCAGTTCCAGTTTGTGGTTAATGGTACCGCTGTCTCCACACACCCTCCCCGCCCCAACACTCCCCCAGAATCTTGATTAGCGAGGAATTCAGCTACAGTAATGCGATTTAAAGTTAAAGAGCAGTAGGTGAGATTTGCACTGTTGTTGGACATGGTCATTGCCTGGCTCATCTGTAGTAAGAATATTGCTTATCTGATAAAGCCTGTATATTGTCCAGATACTTGCATTTTGACATGGACTGCTTCAGAATCTCAGCGGTTTTAAATGGCGCTGAACATCTCTACTTCTGACTTTGTGATAGAGGGAAGGTCATTGAAGCTGGTGAAGATGGTTGGGCATAGGACACTACCCTGAGGAACTCATGCAGGGATGTCCTGGAGCTGAGATAACTGACCTCCAGCTATCTTCCTTTTGGAGTCATACCAGGCACAGTCATTGGAGAATTTTCTCCTTGATTTCTCCTGATTTCCATTGCATCTAATTTCGCTAGGGTGCCTTGCTGCCTTGACATCAAGAGCAACCACTTTTACCTCCTCGGTGGAATTCAACTTTGTCCATATTTAAACCAAAGGTGTAATGAAGTCATGAGTTGAGTGGTTATGGTAGAACCCAAGCTACTTATCAGTGAGCAGGTTATTACTGAGCAAGGTCTGCTTGATAACTGTCGATGACACCACCTGTCACATTACGGATGATTGAGAGTAGATAGGTGGGCTGATAATTGGCCAGGTTAAATTTGTGTACAGCAC